TGTACATACTTAAAAGTATGTGTCCATGCATCCACAAACCCAATCCATACATGTACTTGAAGTACAATTAGGTTCGCTTTCGCCAGCGGAGAGGGTTCAACACAACACGGTGGAGCACTATTCGACACAAAAGGCACAAAGTTTGTTTTTAGTTTGTTGAGCCAAGTGACAACGAGTGTCCTTCGTGGATTCGTTGCGAGGAATGTCTCAACAGCGTTCACATGCTGGTGAACATGCTCGCCCGCTCCTGACGCATGAAGGGCATTTCGTACCGTGTCGAATGCCTTGAACACCTCTGCCACCTCTGCATAGGAAGGCGGTGGTGGAGGAGGCAGAGCTTCTCCTTCATCATCCTCTTCTGGAGTTTCTTCTGGAGTTTCTTCTTCTGCAAGCATCTGGCTCTAGGCAAGAAAGAATGGCTGATGCTTGTGGAAAAATGTGCTGCGCTTGCGTAGTTGTTCTTACAGCGATACGTTCTAACAATAATGAGATGCCTTTTTTCGGCTCTTCTGCCTGGATTTCGTTGACAGATGCGTTAAGCCCATGGATCCTTCCATGAGTGACATGCGAACTGTAACTATTATTATTATTAAGCATCTGAACGATTGTAGCGGTATCATCTGATGGTGGGCAGGCGACTGGCAGATTGTCGTCAAGCTCGTTCAATTGTGCGACGTCGTTGTCCAGTTCAGGGAAGACATGCTGTGGCTCAGCAAGTTCCGGACCCTCGACTGCTTGCAGATCTGCATGACGCCAACAGTTTCGGATTGTTGTCTGGGTAAGCAGATCCCATGCACTTTTCGCATACTGGAGGCAATCCAACATATTTAATATTTTTAAATGTTCTGCCTCAGCACTGTGGAGTTCATCACTGTCACCGTTTCGTCATCCACGAGCATTCCAATCTTTGTCAGCATCTTCTTTCGGTGGTGTGACTTGAAGTTTTGGATTATGCCAGGATCACAGGGCTGGATGAGGCTGGTGGTGTTAGGCGGCAGGAAGATGACCTTTATAAATCTGAGCCGAGACATAATGGCATCAAATTTGTGAGCCGCACAGTTGTCCATCAGCAGGACGACTTGTTTGTTCTGGAGACTGAACTTCTCCTCCATATCAACAAGCCAGCTTCAGAAAATCTTGCTGTTCATCCAGGCCTTGGCGTTGGACTCCCATTCCCCCCCCCCCCCCCCCCCAGATGAGCAGATCGACCAATCGCAAGGAGAGGGAGTTTCGTACCGTCCATTGGTGATGGCAAACGTCACTCTATCTTTTTGGGTCTTGCCACCCTGGAGCCGCTCGTCAGCTCTAGCCAGTGTTTGCTGGGGCAGACCTCGCCAGAACAATCCAGTTCCGTCCGTATTGAAGACTCTACCCGGATCGTGACCGACGCTGGCGAAGATGCCTGGCCAGATGTGCTCGGGGAAGTGCTGCGCACTAGCAGAATCTGCGTCTCCCGATTCTCCATGTGGTTTGCGTGAGACTATGCTGCGGTTCTTCAGAAACCGCTGTACATAGGAATGCCAAGCAATGTTGGTGGAAGGAATGGCGGAACGTTCCACCAGTTCTTGTTCCACGAGTCCATCGGATATCTGCCGACCTTTGTTGATCAGCAACTCGTACGAAATCGATTTCATCCTTTTTTTGCACGACATGATTTGTGGAAGGCTTCCATCCCTTTCTCCAGTAAATCGCACTGTGTCTGACGGTTTTTCTTTCGAGTGACGGTGCCCTTCACCCCAAGCGCCATGAGGAAGTCACGCCTCTTCATGATTGAGGAAACTGTTGGCTGCGCAATGCCGAACTTCCGAGCGACAGCTGCTTGGCTCGTCCCCGGGTTCTCCTCCGCATATTTTATGATGTCCAGTTTGTCATTCACTGTGAACGACTTTTAATGAGAAGCTATTTCGACCACAGACTGTCAATGAAACTTCCAAGGGTTCACTCACAAGCGTTCATGAATATCACAAACAACCTTGCTTTCAGCATGATTCCGACTTCCCTGAGCTTTATACCACTCCATGGAGGACAAAACGGCAACAAAAGGTAGGTGTGTAAGTGCTAAGTGGGTATGTGTACGAGATGTGTAGTAAAAAAGAACCATTCGCGCGAATTCGATACGATAATCTTGTGGAGGTCTCCACATCACACCGTGAGCGTATCGGTAGCGTACGCGGTATGGGACCTGGCACGTGCGAGGAAGCTAGCTAGCTTGCATGTGCCTTCGCTCTATCTGTATTGTATTGTATTTTATTATTTTACTTGGGAATTCCCAACAGACCCTAAGGTCTTCTTACAGGGTGCCGAAGATTAATGAAATTGTTAAGCTCCTGGCGAAATGAATTGGGGATATGAGTTGTGCGAAGGGATTCGGGAAGCGCATTAAAGCGGTCAGCACCAAGGAATGAAATAGATCGGTATCTAGCTTGAGCTTGCACAATGGGTAAGGAAAGGGAATAATTGACTTGGCCGCGGGTTACTCTATCTGTGTGAGCGCAGTCACGGCGAAGGGAGAACATGTCAGAGAGGAGTGAACTGCAGATATTGTGGATGCAACGGAACACGAAGAATATGGACTTAGTATGATATCTTTTGTCTAAGCTAATTATGTGGTATTGCTCAAGCAAGTATGATGTCCGCGTGAATGTGTCATGCTCAAATATGCATCTAAGTGCTCTCTTACTTATGCGTAGCAGCTGATCTCTCACGTTGTCAGCGAGGCAGGGGACGTAGGCAGTGCTGGCGTACTCGAGCTTGCTCTGGACTACTGACAAGTAGAACTGCCTTCTGGCCTGGACAGCAAGGTTCCTCCTTCCATGTCGAAAAGCACCTAGTTTCTTTCCGATGTCTTCCCTGAGGGAGTTAACGTGGGCACTGAAACTTAAAGTTGAATCGAGAGTCAGTCCTAGATACTTAACTTCGTCAGACGGGGCAATAACAGTCGAACCACAGACAATGCTCAGGTTAGGTGGAGGATGTGAGCGTCTGCTGTGGATCAGTAGTACTTGGCTCTTGCTGGAGTTCAGGAGCAGGCCGCGATCTGTGAGGTGCTGCTTCACCACTGAAAAATCTTCTTCAAAGTAACACATGAGAATTCGTGGACACTTTCCAGAGGCATACAGGGTGGTGTCGTCTGCATAGAGAAGGCATTGGGAACGCAATGGCAGAGTGGGGACAAGTCGAGTGTAGATGCTGAAGAGGGTAGGGCCTAGGACGGAACCCTGGGGAACGCCCTATCTAGCTCTGCACTGTGCGTACTGTACAGTCACATGCACAGCACGCTTCTGCATGCTGCACTGATTCGAATGACACCATACACGCATGTGTCAGGCATACCTAAGTATGCATATCGCCTGTAGTAATATATCACCTATAGTTATATTTTCACGAAAATCAAACACCAATGCCGATCCGTACTGTACTTGTAGAAGAGTGAAATCTGCCCTAACCGGACGCCCTCGGTGCAGCCAAATACTGTTCTGATATGACAGGATTCAGCGCTTCGGCGCATGAACATTTTGTGCGGTCAATACAGGATCCGGCTTGGTACAGGATCCGGCAAACACAGGTTTTACCGCACATAAAAATGCCACAATCTCGGACAGACAGCTATTTCGACCTTGTTGGCTGTCATCAGGGGAGCTCAGATTGACTGGCAGCATGCAGTGCAGCGTGTTAATACAACCCATCACATAATATGCTTTCATACAATAAACCCATTGCGCATTGCCAAATATATGGGAGGTATGCGTAATGCATGTGAGTATAGTGGGATCAGCAATGCACTGTTCAACACGCCAGACGACCATGTCGAGATGGCTGTGTAGGGTGTTTATGGTACAAATCACGTCATTGCGCAATAGGCTTATTCGTGTCACACTGGCTATGGTATGTGTGCATGTGTTGTGTTTGGCATGCAGAAAATGTCACTCCAAATAGCTGTATGGTGTAGACCAGGCTGAATAGTGACGGTCAATTCTTCAGCCTTGCAAGCTGTTGAATGGTGTAATCCCAGCACAAGTTGCTATGGCTTCTGCCGTAGCATTGCTATCATCGCCTCCGGCGATGGGCGTCAAAGGTCAGGTGTGTGTGTGTGTGTGTGTGTGTGTGTGTGTGTGTGTGTGTGTGTGTGTGTATGTGTGTGTGTGTGTGCGTGTGTGCATGTGTGTGTGTGTGTGTGTGTGTGTTTGTATGTGTATATGTGTATGTTCATGTGTATCTGTGTGTGCATATGTGTTCCTACATCACAGCTGCCCTTCTCACTGCCCAGTCTAGTAGTCACTGAGAAGGATCTACACATGCCTGCCAGTACAGCTGAACAGCAGGGAGTAGAGCAGCTTCAGCCGGCTGGTGACCATCAGACCACTGTCAATGCTATTCCCACTATACGACCGTAAGGCAATACTGATGGTCACAATGTGTTGTAATGAATGGACTCGGATGGAGAGCCAAGGACTAATGTACGAGAAAGAAAAAGGACCAAGGAACTACAAGTTACACTATAATGTCCACTAACACCACCAGTTACTAGACAATCAGCCCATGCGATAACATTCAGTACCGCCGGTCAGTGTCGTGCAATGTTATCGCATGATCTCATTGTTTAGTAACTGGTGGTGTTAGTGGACATTATAGCGTAATTTGTAGTTCCTTGGTCCTTTTTCTTTCCTATAGTGTTATGCTGGTTTTTTTTGGTTTTTTTGGTTTTTGGTTTTTTACTATTAACACAGCCCTACTGGAAAACAGGTTGAGTACAAAAAGAAATGAGAAAAAGGACAAAACATAGGGGGTGTAGGGACGACGTGCCGATGTACTGGGAGCAATTCAACCGACCAGAGGTCTCAGCGTCAGCGTTGCACCTAGGTATCGCTGTGCCAAGGATGCTTCTATTACCGTGATGTCGCGTGTAAAAGCAGGTGCCGTCAGGCGAAATTACTGGTCAGTCGGCGACACGCATTTTTCACAAACATTTGCGTTTCACCTGCTGGGAGAGTATGCGTGTACTCGAGTCTCATCCTGAGCACGTTTTTTTCTTCTTTTTTTCAGCTCCAGCATAGCTGTATTTTTCATTGCAAAGCCGTCCTCGATTGTTGTGTTCGTTGTTCAAACGAAGTGGACATTCAATCATGAAGGCAGAGGACATTGGAGCCTGGTTGGAGTTTCTCGTGGCATAGGACGGCACAGAGACACTTTGGGATTTTCTGAATATAAAATACCGTACGCACGATGCTGAGATCAATTTGTGCGATATCAAATTGTTTGTGATCTTCCACATCGAGCAGAACGGGATCCAAACACAAGATTACCGACGGTTAGGCTGCCGACCTGACTGGACAAATGATCCCTGGCTTCACCAGACGCCAGAAGTCGGACACCATGTCCTTTGCCGCGATGTCCATCTCCGAAAAGAACTCCATCTTCGTCGTGGAAAGGCTTGAAATACTCAATATTCAACCGAGATTCGCGGTCTCACCCTTTCCCAGATCGAATCATTTCTTGTTGTAGCAGTTGCAGGGCAGATCCCCGCCACTACTTCAACAGGGGATGGCTCCAAAGCATGCCTGGAATAAGCCATATCGAGGTTGCAAGCCACCCCTCTCAGCAAGAAATTCGAAATTTCAATGGTGGACGATATACTATGCAGAGAATTTCAAAAAGTATGTTTCGCGGAGCGATCACTCAACCTACGTCATTCAAACTTTGCAGGATGGTTCAGACGTACATGCTAGGCATGGAACCACAGGGGACGATGCCATAGCTGACACACAGAGTCACACACACAGCAGATTCATGTGCACAGATACTAAATTAGTGGACGTCGTCATCTTCTTCCCGCTGATCTCAAATGTACTATGACGTGCTATTTCGCCTGACGTTACGGCCGTATAAGCCGGGGCTCAACCCATGCTTCTATTCAAGTTATGCTTCTATTCAAAACATGCTTCCACGTTGACATCATCAGTCTACAGGGATCGATTTATTCGGGTTCGCATCGCAGTTTGCGAATCAAAATTCACTAGCTGGGATTCCTTTTTCGTCTTTTATCGCCCAAAACTGCGATGCACGGGCTATGCATTGCGGTATGTACAAAGACCATTCTGTACTGGCTGTGTGCAGTTTACATGCAACTGTTGTACACACTGCTGACTAGGGAGTAGTAATTTATTACCCCAACCAACTAGCCTGTCTTGCTCAGTCCGCGCGCAGGTCGCGAATCACGCTCTGTATGATTTTGAACACTGCGCAAGCACTGGTCGTACAAGACTGAAGTCTTTTGAAATTTTTACACGGCGGCGACTTTCCCTGAAGTTCTCCTTACTTCTTTCACTGTCAAGCTCAATTCAGTTTGTTTCCATTCGACAAGACACAGTTGAAGTAGATGGTTCTTAGTCTCATGTAGCCAACATGTCAGTGAATCTGATCACTGTCCAGAAGTGGGAAAAAGAACTGAACACGCCAGGAGTGTCGATTTGTTTCGATGGAGAAAAGCGAAAATTCTGTGCCCTCTGCACGAACTGTCAGGATTGTTTGAGCGCTTTCCTGAGCTTTCTTTGTCGAAGGAATCAGTGGAACTGCCCTGTTGAAGGGCATGGTGTTGTGAAGAACTCGAAGTCGGATGGACGCTGAACATGTAACGAGCCCAAGCGAAAACCCTAACGTAAATTTAATATTCAGGTCAACCCTTCGCTTGGAAAAGCAAATAGCAACTGCAGCTATTGTCCTCTTCTGCACGAAATCCTGCTATTGTGTAGAATAATAATAATGATATACATGTAAACTTTTGAGGAAGGAAAACTGCTAGTCAATGCTGGGAGCTGCTAGTCAATTATTGTAAAACTGTGTAGCAGTGACTAAATCGATCCCTGGGCTCTACGCTGTGCAGTGCACACTGCTACACACGCACTTGCACATGTACTTTGCAGAGAGTGGCTTCCATTGAAATCATGCTTCTGTGTCATGCTTCTATTCGAGTCATGCTTCTATACAGGTCATGCTTCTATGCAGGCCATGCTTCTATGCTGGTCATGCTTATACAGGTCATGCTTCTATACAGGTCATGCTTCTATACAGGTAATGCTTCTATACAGGTCATGCTTCTATGCAAGTCATGCTTCAGGTCATGCTTCTATACAGGTCATGCTTCTATACAGGTCATGCTTCTATACAGGTCATGCTTCTATACAGGTCATGCTTCTATGCAGGTCATGCTTCTATGCAGGTCATGCTTCTATACAGGTCATGCTTCTATGCAAGTCATGCTTCTATGCAGGTCATGCTTCTATGCAGGTCATGCTTCTATTCAGGTCATGCTTCTATACAGGTCATGCTTCTATGCAGGTCATGCTTCTATACAGGTCATGCTTCTATGCAGGTCATGCTTCTATACAGGTCATGCTTCTATACAGGTCATGCTTCTATGCAAGTCATGCTTCTCTGCAGGTCATGCTTCTATACAGGTCATGCTTCTATACAGGTCATGCTTCTATTCAGGTCATGCTTCTATACAGGTCATGCTTCTATACAGGTCATGCTTCTATGCAGGTCATGCTTCTATGCAGGTCATGCTTCTATGCAGGTCATGCTTCTATACAGGTCATGCTTCTATACGCGACACTACAGTACATTATGCACTCATGCCTCGGTTATCCGGACGTCCAACTTCCGGCCACTTGGGTATACAGTAAATAGTGTATATAACGTGCCCCTTTGATTTTCGATAATTTATCACTATATCCGGTGCATCACTATAGCCGATTTGCATGTATGACTGGCACATGGCACATGACTGTGCATGAAATGATGCGTACATGCTGGAAAAAGCATGAAAAGCAGCCACGTGTACGTGTGGCTGCTTACAGCATACAGGGAAGAATTTTCTCTCGATCACGTCTGCTGCCTGATGCATCCAGGCAACACTGGATCAGTTTTGGAGGAAGTGAACTATATTGGAAGAACACTTGTTTTGTGATCATCACTCTTGATCAGTATATGCGATAAATAGGATATTGACCTCGACTTCGGTCTATATGGGAAATATAGGCCTCGTAAAAGACCTCGGCGGACCTCGGTCTTTTACTCGGCCTATATTTCCCATATAGACCTCGTCTTGGTCAATATCCTATACGTATAGTGATATTTTAGCTGTATTTTTTTGTGATTTGATTTTGATTTTGGCGAGTTCTATCATTATAGCCGGTATATCGTTACACCCGGTCACTTTATAAACGATACTCACTGTACCAGGCACACTTTGGGGGAGTTTGAGTGGAAATATTACTACTCTTTTGTCACTTTTCTGAAACAATGAAGTCACATGCCATATCCATGGCCCTTCCCCATTAAAATATATGTGATTCGGAGTTACGGAGGTTTCAAAGTTACACTGGGCAGTGCCCGGTCCTGGACAGTGCCTGCTCCTTCAATCCCTATGGTTCTAAAGGAAAGTGATCGTGCAAAGCAGGTGGTCTCCTGGTCCTGTTTTACCTGTGGGAGCTCCTTGAAACTTCTGGTATGTTCTTCACATGTCATGTACACCACATTTTGTCCTGTATCCGGCTCTGGCTACGTGAGTCTATGTTAAAGTATTTTCGATCTATCCATCTGCATTATACTCATACCTCGTTTCAGGCGGTCTGGGACCGGGCGCTGCCCGTAGCTTTGAAATGTCCGCAACTCCAAAATAACATACATTGTGATTGAGGAAAGGCCATAGATATGTCATGTGACGTCACTATTTCCACAAAAGTCACGAAAGAAGAGAAGCACATGTATTTCCAGTTAAACTCGCCCAAATGATGCCCGGCAGACCGGAGTGCCCGTAATTTTGAAGTTCGGATAACCGATGTATGAGTGTATAGCTGGCAATGTTCTGCACCAGCCAGCCAGCATTTCTTACCAGCGTGTGTTTGCAGTTGTGTGTGTCTCTCTGTCACTGTCGTTCTTTCCCTTCTCTCCCTCACCGTGGCAGTTCACTTCAAGGGGTCAATTATATAATGGGTTCAAGCAGGGACATTGCTTTCATCATAAAAATCGCGACATGCAAGCTCCTGATAAGTGAACTTTCTTGTATTCGGTGTGCCTCAGTACTTCAGACATAGCCCTTTCCCAAAGATGCCAAAATAATTCGCACATTATGCTTTTCGCAACCGTGCCAAAACAAGTCCAAGTTGCTGAAACGGCATCCATATTTTCAGAAAAAAGCTCAAAAGTTGCCAACATTGCAACTTGAAATGAGAGAGTTCTTGTGCATACAATGATGCCAAACAAACAAAAAAAGGAGCGGAAATAGCAGAAGTGCAGAGACAGCAAACTCCGTTTACCCCGTCTGCTGTGAACTAGAACTTTACCCAGTGCAAGTAGTCTGTTGCACGCATCCTCCATCATGTCTCTGCACGCAAAAGGGAATGCACATATTGGAATTACCGAAGATCTACTGTTTTGAGTCTGAAGGCGCATGAAAAATGGACGAGTATGCATTTATCCGACATGTAGCCTGTGACTTGACCTTTTGTTGCCCATGTCAGTGGGCCAAGGTTGCGGAAAAGTTGCGAAGTAGTTAGCGAAAATAGAGAAAGTTGTGAAATTGCAATTTCTTCCAAAACAATGAAAAGCTGCGTAAAAAGTGGAGAGCATGTTTGGGAAAGGGCTATTCAGACACCAACCATGAGTATCCATACTGCGGAGCACACAGTTTTTGTTTTTCCTGCACTTTCTGGCTCGTAACTCTAGAACGCGGGACGACAGCAAGTTTATCGGAAAGGGACCCATGCCGTTCCGCGGCGAAACGGCTGACGCAGACGGCAAGGGCAATCATTCCTGGCTGGGCAGCAAGTTCTCGCCTTCGTTTGATGGTTGCTTGTACAACGGTGAGTAAGCCATAATTATGTTGCCTCTTGCTCTTTCTACAGTCCAGCCACTAGCAAGGGTATGTGAAACCCAGAATGGGCAGCTCGGATAGGTTGCTGTCTTGGCAAGATTTCTGGTTTGCATCAATACCGTACTTCCCCGAATAGAAGTCGCATCTTTTTACAATAAACTTCAGAACCAACAAGGGGGTGCGACTTACAATCGAGCATGATTACTACTGAAATGAATATGTTGGAACGATATGACATAGACCTGAAATTAGGGGTGCAACTTACAATCAAGTGCGACTTACAATCGGGGAAATACGGTATACTTCAAAGTAGTGATGTAATGCTTACTAACAACACAGTCAGTAGCGCCACATAGTGCTACAGTGATCTCAAGGGTTTTTCGCTGTGGATTCAGCCATAAGAATGACTTCTTTAAGCCAGGTTTCATATAATTTGGCCAGATTTTACTTGATCCGGTGTGTTGAGTTAACCCTTTATGTACTGAAAAATTGTACACAGACTGAATTTGACCTCGACTCACCTCAAATTCTATAATTCCCCGGGTCATAACTTTAGTCTCCTTTTGATGATATTTTCAATCTTCGGCTTCCTGGAAAGCTCGTCGCAAGAGGAACACATTGAGCCCACGCTTGCCACCACGAAGGTCAAAACGCCAGCGCTACAGCCCAGCGTCTTACCTGCAACGCCAATATTCCGACAGAAGTCGTCTTGCATCTGCCATTTCGCTCTCCTTGCTTGTAACGACTAACTGTTACTTCTAAAAATGTCACAAACTGCCATGAGTCCGTTTGCCATTTTGAACGTGTTTCTACGTCACTGCATGCCCAGAATGATGGGGAAATCCCTCATTCAAATTTGCGCGAGCGGCTATTGAGCGACATTTTCCCCGATTCGACTTTCGAGCTTCGTAACCATAGCCAGCAATCGCATGTCACCACGTACATTCAAAATAAACATAATTTTGCGAATCGACCTTTTTTTCAGGATCACTTTTCAACGAGGACGAAGCAAAGTCGGCCGAACGAAGCCTAGAGGAAGAAAATCACCCTCTCCACTTCACCATCACGATACTGACATAGATACGAGATGAAACAACTAAAAAATCCACAAGAAAACTGTACGGCCATCATCGCGCTGACTTTGGTCTGACTTTGGTCTGAGAATTTCTATCACGATCAAAAATGTACGAGGAGCACTCAAAAATAAGCCACAGACGTACCTTTATCGCTCTCTACTCCTTTTTCAAGGCACAAAAGTCGACTCTCCACTTTCAAACCAGGAACCAGACATACCAGTGGTCCTTTTCAGCTGCTCCACGAGCGCAGGAAAGGTTCACCAAGGGGCGCAGAGCAGCATCCATTCCAGAAAAAGAGCTAAAATACGAGTGAGACTGCATGCCTGAGTACATGAGTACATGTATGAGTACATGCAGAAAATAGTCAATTTCAGCGTTTCTGCTCCAAACAGCAACTAGCTTCGACTAGAAACAAAGATTACACCAAAGGATCAAACAACAACCATTTTCTGCAGTTTTTTTGCAGATGGCTTCCTTGTGCTTGGCCCAGCACGCCAAAAATCACACCTCGGAGGAGTACAAAAATTACAGCTCTCAGATGTCCTCGATTGCTGGCCATGTCTGTAACCACACATCAGAGCGCTTCAGTGATTGTTTCAATGGACAGCTGGGAGTTTTCTCTTTGACCTACATATTTTTAGTTTTCGGATATAACGCAGGAATGACTGAGTTACGATCGATTGAAATTTTGAAAAGTTTCGATCCCAGGGGATCAAAAGTTGGACAGTCCGTACACAAAGGGTTAAAAGGTTTCAATCCAAAATCTACCCAGATCAGGTTTTGAAACTTCCTGCCTCCGATACTATTGCAAAGTGATGAGAACAAGCTACCATTATGACGAGAGAATGTGTTTTGATTTGTGTTGAGCTAGAGCATTAATCAAGCACGGGCAGAGATCTTGCCAAACAAGGATATACGGTATACGGTGCTCAATGCTCCCCACAAACTCACTGGCAATGGCAATATGCGACAATGCATCCGTGAGCACCTTGTGCACATGCAGCAACAGCAGATGATTCAGACGGCTCTGCTCCACAGTAGACCTCAGGTAAATGTTTTTAAAGCGTCTTACGTGCTCACTCACAGCATTGGTGGAGGGCATGACCAATACCAACACAAGCACTACAGAAACTGGCATTCTGCGGACGCGAGCGGCTTGATATGCTTGGCGATGTCGCCTACTGAGGTGTTGGCCGTTGCATCGGGAAATGTTGCTGCGAGGGTCTGAAGTCGTAGGCGCAAGCGGTCAGCATCTTGGTCATCCTTGAAGAACTTGTCAAAACAATCAACTTATCGTTCCGTTATAGATCACCCGTTAGGGATTTCAGTCCTAAAATTAGTGACCCCCCGTGATTTGTGAAGCTTGAATGAGTTTCCGCTGTGAGCATGCAGTTGCCAGGGGTATGGTTCATGTTCTGAGGTTCAATTGACTTCAAAATTGCCATGTATTGGAGCTACCCTTTCACTGATGCAGATTTTTCAGTGTTATGAAAACATACCTTGCAGAAACAGAGCAATTTTGCACAAAACTCTGACACTATTTGCTAACGATTATATTCGATTAATCGACCGTTAAGCTAAAGAGGAATCGATAGGTGAAAGTCTACTTCCTCTGTGTTATCGAAATTGTCGCATTTTGACTTTTGATGTAAAACGGGGTATTTAATCAGCAGCAGTCGTACCACAGTTTAGGAATCGGGCAAAGGCGATAGTCAGCAGTATAGGGTGACGGCAACGTTTTATTTTCTGTTATTGGAAGCTGAAAATTTTGAATGAGACGCAATTTCTTCGCTGATGTCGCTGCAATGGTACTTTCGACTCGCAGAGATCAGGCAGGCGTTGCAGCCTGCACATTTCTCGTGCGCATAGCCATTCACGCAAAACATCATAACTGTTTTACCTGAGCTGGGGTGAGAATGACTTCGTGGAACAAGCGGTATGGCAGCGCTTGGAGAAACATTCATGGGTCAGCAAACTAACTGCAAGCAAACTAGCGATAAAACGTGTCGCTCTTGCATTCATGCACGGAATGCCGAGACACTGAGTACCTACAAGAGCCATGTAGACTCTACGTGTACACGGTACTGAGACTGTAGTGCTAGTGTCTAGTAGTGATGTGCACGTGTTGTTGTTGTTGTTGTTTTTTATTTGAATTCGCAATACCAAATGGGCAATAAGCCCAATTACATGGAAGCGAGTAAAAAAATGCTAAGAATGAGGCATAGGGGTGGATATTATTTCAAGTGGAAATACTGATCCCGGGAGGTGCTACAAATGCAGGTACCGTACCAGTGATGCTGAAAAAGAGTGTGCGCTGGACGTGATGGTACACTTACCTGCGTGAGCAGTGTCCACACAGCTAAAATGAATGGGCATGCCACGGCTAAAAAAAGTTCATTTCAAGATCGAGGTGATTCCGCCGACGGTAATCAACCAACCTCGCAACGATCGTGTATTCCTATTTCTTTGGTGGTGAAGTAGAAACCATCCAGAGCTAGCAGACGATAAGCATAGCAGCTCTTGTCCTGTGGAGAGAGTCAAAGCGTTGGAGACGAGGCGTTACCAACTTACAACCTTCCGTGAAGAACGATTTTTTCGTCCATTGATATCAGCGACGACGAGGCCTTCATCTCTGTGTGAAACTCTCAATGTGTGTTATGATAGTTGTATGGTGTAGCTTATGGAGTTGTCAGTAACAAGTGACAAGTCACTAGTCAAACTGCGACAATTTCGACGACGCGGAGGAAGTACGATCGTTTCAGCCCTGAGACAGTACTATAATGTGACGGGGAGCAGGAGAGCAAGAACTCTAAGGGTAGGAAAGCAGTGTCTGCTCTAGGGTTGTGGGACAGCCGGGTACACGTGTACCTGGCGCAACTATTTCAACCGGGTCGGAGCCGGGAACACATGTAGCTGGTGTTACGTGACCAGTCTTATCAGTCTATAACCAACAATGCCACAATGTTTCAGCCGTGCGAATGGCACAATAGCAGGGAGTAGTAAGAACAGTCTCAGGACAGTGCAATGGCAAAACCAGTTGCCAGAAGCGTAGAGAACAGACTGACTAGCGAAAGCCTGAAACGCCAGCAAAGAGCCAAAACCCAATCCACGCATGACGTCACCTGCGCATGCGTGGGGCACACATATAACACACGTGTACGTGAACGCAGTACACTTGCCTATACCTACAAGCTCTGCTATCTAGATGCATCCAGCCCTCTGAAGCAGATGCTGCCTAAACCAGCCACTCACCGTGCCCCGAGACAAGACCTACCCGTCAGTCTCTCCAGCTGCAGGATTCCCATCCATACCAGATGACAACTGGCCTGCCTGCCAACACCCGGAATAGCTGTCTCCAAGGATTCCCTGCTTGCACCGTTGCAACATGGAATGCCCTGCCACCAGACCTGTTCCACCACTCACCCGCCCAGCCCCACATGCAAAGCTGTAAGAAAAAGGTGTACCGTCACCTTCTTGCTCAGGACTGGCTCTCTGCTACTGATGCACTTTGAATCTGCTCGCCAACGCTTTCCCTGTTCTTATTAGTGTTCAGCTGCTTACCTTATAACCCTGCTGCCATCATCACCAATATTCTGATTCTCATGCACATGTCCCAGAACCTGCTATCCTTCGCAGTCCCCATCACCAAGAGCACTGTGCTCTTCTATCTCCCAGCTCTCTCTCTCTCTCTCTCTCTCTCTCTCTCTCTCTCTCTCTCTCTCTCTCTCTCTCTCTCTCTCTCTCTCTCTCTCTCGCTCTCGCTCTCGCTCGCTCTCTCTCGCTCGCTCTCTCTCGCCCGCTCTCTCTCGCTCGCTCTCTCTCTCTCTCTCTCTCTCTCTCTCTCTCTCTCTCTCTCTCTCTTTCTTCTCTTCTTCTCCCCCCCCCCCCATCTCCCGATAATTATTAGCCCCCGTTTTCTTTCGACGCGTTTGCTGTGCAGTGAAGCCGAGACCCTAGGTCGGTGGAGCACATCAGACCCCGTCACCACGTCCACGATTCATGCCTGCAATGCTGCACCGCTGCTTTGCATGTCATGATTGGAAGCTGTGGCCTTAGTAAAAATAAATAAATAAAAAAAACACGTGACACCTGGCGCTGTCTCACCAGCCGAGTCACATGTGGATTCGTCTCTTCGCTGGAGGCTCCATTTCCAAAAACAATACCTTAACGATCAAGCTCGAACTGAGCACGTGCACACACCAGATACTGACTACTTTCACTTCGACACACACCTCTGCATGATCTGTCACACATACAAGCCATGTAGTCAGTCCTTTCCAAGTTCGAACGTGTAAAGACTACCAACCGGGTCACAGGTGACCCGGTACTGTATTTTCAACCGGGTCCAAGCGCTGCCCAACCGGGTCGATTATCCGGCTCACCCGGCTCTGGAGCAGACACTGGAAAGAGAGGAGGGAGGGGAGGAAACCAGGAAACTTGTTATTCCAAGATATGAGTGCAAACAAGTACGCACAGAAGTACAAAGATAGCAGTATCAAGATCATGATGCTGAGGCGACAGTAGAGGCTGATTGCTGTGCAGTTTTGACGAAAGATTAGAGTGAGAATGGAGGAGAGTTAGAGAGAGATAAAGACAGATGGATTGGGAGTTGGATGAGAAGGGAGCGCTCCAAGAACATGAACAGGGTCGTACTGGCAGTAGCCTAGGGGGCGATGTCCGTGGCCAATGACCAACCCGACCGTTTCAGGTAGTGGTAGGTCAGAACCTTGAACTGCTGCATCCCTTTGGCAGACGGTGCATCGCGGAGGAGACTGGCTGGCAGTTCATTCCGGGCTTCGATGAGGCACTCCGGGAAAGAGTGCAGCGCAACATTGCACGATCTGGTGTGCGTGTACAGTTAACCATGTGTGCGTTCATTTGCGAATTTTTGCCCGTCTTTCTTTCTGCAGTAAACCCACATGGACTCCGAGCATCATTCTTCGATCTCAATCATCACCCGGAACCCCGGCGGCAAAGTGCAGACGATGCAGTGTTCAAAACGAATAAAGAATTCCTCGATCCAGATAGCAAGTCGCACTCGACGGAAGAGGATTTACAGGAGGCGGGAAACTCGTTTGGTATCTACTACGACTTCAAGAATACTATTAGCGGCACCACAGACATCACACAGAAATGCATACTGGATTGCGCACCGTTTACAGTGGAAACCCTGCCCTGGGATGTCATGGCTGCGCACTATAAGACAGGTAAGCTACGGTTAAGGACACATGCACACGTGACTGCTTTGCCCGCGTTGTGCGAAGAAGCCATCGCACGGTCTCCTCCCGCATCTTTTTGCCTTGAGCCAGTTTAAGAATGCGTTTTCGTCCATTCAACTTGATTGCAATCGCTTCCATCTGAAACTCTGAGCTGTCTTCACAAGATGTAACAAAATGAAAACAGCTAGCTCCCCAGACATTGAGTAGTATCTAAATTCAACATGTGACTGATCGCCCACCTGTTTTAAGTGCGGATACTGGTTGCGCAGAGGCGTCGGACACGGCACGGTCACTACAGTATTGATCGTACCACGTTTTGCCCGGGTACTCTGGGAATCAATATAATACACTGATTTGGGCTCCAAATTGCCAAATTGTCGGGCTCAGCCACCCCGCCCCCCCCCCCCCCCCCCCCACGAGTGAATAATTGTACTTCAGATGGCTGTCCGGCGTGACACACTGAAATGCCTTCCGACGCTCCTGCGGTGTGTGTGTGTGTGTGTGTGTATGTGTGTGTGTGTGTGTGTGTGTGTGTGTGTGTGTGTGTGTGTGTGTGTGTGTGTGTGTGTGTGTGTATCTACTACTACTACTACTATTGACAGCTGCCAGAAATGGCCACGCCGTACCTCCCTCTGGGGAGCGGCGTGGCCATTTCTGGCAGCTGTCAATAGTAGTAGTAGTAGTAGTGTGTATGTGTGTGTATGCGTGCTGCACACCACCACATTCTCCTGGGTGGTTACCAACAGCCAGTGCATGCCGGAGTATGTGGTGTGATGTATGTGCGGGAAAAAATAAAAATAAAAAAACCAAAAAGTAGGGATTCACTGGCCAGAAAAAGCCACTTCATAGCTGTGTGGTGTAGACCAGGCTGAATAGTGGCGGTCAATTCTTCAGCTTTGCAAGCTGTTGAATGGTGCAATCCCAGCACAAGCTGCTATGGCTTCTGCTGTAGCATCGCTATCATCGCCTCCGGCGATGGGCGTCCAATGGTCCAATGGTGTATGCGTGTGTGTGTGTGCGTGCGTGCGTGCATCAATTCTGCCAACCTCCATACATGTACCAGTACAAGCAACACACGCGTACACGCCTGAACATTAGCAGAATGTAAAAAACACTGTACGCGAAACAAACCCAGTTGGTTGGCAGCTCTGGTGCGTTTATGGAGAAGTAGCAATATTACTACTCTAATGACTCAGAAGTGCGCCGAGTTGAGAGATAGGTCCGGATTTAGGAGGTATGGATATGGGAGGGTAAAACGATAGTAATAAATTGATCACTTTTTTCTCTTTTCGTGTTCCATGGATGGTTTGCCGTGCCTCGATGCAGTTTCTAGTTCGGCGGTCAAGTCATGCGTTCATATCCTGTGCTTCAACAGCCGCTGCTTTGTGCCGATTGGCAAGCTGGCTTTTGCGGTAAGCATGGAGAATATTCCTTATTAGGGAATGGTGGAGGTTCCTTGTTCATGTTTAGATTGTGTGGTGATAGTTTATGTTGTTTTCTAGTTGTTCCCTGATGATGGGCCAGGCCCGAAAATTTGGTGAGATGTAAATCTTACTTCCTCCGCGGCGTCATCGAAATCGTCGCAGTTTGACTTTTGATTAAAACGAGGTATATGCTCACCAGCACTCGTACCACAGGTAAGGAATCGGACATAGGCGATGGTCATCAGTATAGGGTGACGGCAAAGTTTTAGTTTGTGTTATTGGATTCAGTCTGTGTTATTGGAAGCTGAAATTTTTTGAACTAGACCCAATTTCTTCGCTGATGTCGCTGCGATGGTACTTTCGACTCGCTGAGAGCAGTCAGGCGTTGGAGCCTGCACATTTCTCGTGTTTATAGCCATTCACTAAAAGCCTCATCACTGTTTTACCTTAGCTGGGGTGAGAATGACTTCGTGGAACAAGCGGCAGCGCTTGGAGAAACATCGAGGGGTCAGCAAACTAAATGCATGCAAGAGCGATAAAATTTGTCGCTCTGGCTCGAGACTCAGTACAATAATGTCATGATTGTAGCTGCAAGAGCCGTGTAGTCAGTGTAGACTCTACGTGTATTGCTAGTGATGCACGCGCAGGTGCCGTACCAGTGATGCTGGAAAAGGGTGCGCGCTGGACTTGATATAGTACACTTACCTGCATGAGCTGTGACCACACAGCTAAAATAAAATGGGCATGCCACAGCTAAAAAATGTTCATTTCAAGATCGAGGTGATTCTGCCGACGGTAATCAACCGACCTCGCAACGATCGTGTATTCTTGCTTCGTTAGTGGTGAAGTAGAAATCATCCAGAGCTACCAGACGACAAGCATAGCAGCTCTTGTCCTGTGGAGAAAGTCAAAGCGTTTGAGATGAGGCGCGACCAACTAACTTGCAACCTTCCTTGAAATATTTCGGAACGATATTTTTGCGTTCACTGACACCAGCGACGACGAGGCCTTCATCTCTGGGTGAAAACTCTCAGTGCAACTGTCCTGCAACGTTACTCTAGCCTTCAGATTCTCATACTGTGTACTACTTCCTCCGGAAACAAAAACGTCGTGACTTTTTTTTACATGGCTTTTCAAGTAGTTCAACACATTCAATCAACATATCTACAATATCTACAGGATCAATTAGTGGGAGTAGAGTCTCAGTCCGGGTCGCCATCGCTCGACTCATCACGGCTGAAACCGTTCCAAGTGGCAGGTCAATCGACGCAATATCGTATGTCGCGTTCCTGATCCTCTTCGCTGTCACCCTGAATGCCTTCTCCAACATCTCGGCGGAGACCACGGTAGCGCTGCAGCACTGGTACTCATTACCGCCTCCGCTCTCGCTCGAGGACAAACACAGGCAGAGCCAACAATTTCAAATTTCCTCCGAGGGATATCATAGTGGTACCAGCACGTCCCGACTGCCGTGATCAGATCTCGCCTGTTCTCCTTTGCGACCAAGGACACATCGTCGAGGCTGCTGGAAAAGGCGACATCATCCACGTTGAGGTCTGGGCTCTGCAGTGGCTGAACGTTGACTTCTATTTTGAACTTACTTGTTCACATTGCTCTGCTGCGCGAAGTGTCGATTGTCACATCTCTGCGTTTTATAGTTTTGACATCGTGCCGACCTCTTCGCATGCTGACGGGCGTTTCGGGGATGGCGAAGATTTCAAAACGCTAGCTGATATTGCTATTCATTTTCCACTCTTCTTGCTCCTGGGTGCCACTGTCCTGCTCTGTCAAGTTCTGAACTAAAAGTTACAAAACATAGCAACGGCGAGCAGTGAGCGCAGTGCTTTTTTCTTCTCATTGCGCCTGGTGGACGAAAATGAAAAACATGTTCGCTTTGCTTTGTTTGCAACATCGACACCCTTGCTCTGCGACGACTATCGGCTCTCCAGAATATGAATTATGCTTTCCTACGATTCCGAAATGTCATGTCAGTGTTCCAGGCGGACAGAACCAGGGAGAAAGAGCGAAATAACAGCAGCGAATAGTAGTGAAAAAAGTCACGAAGTTTTTGTTTCCGGAGGAAGTAATTTTTGTATGGTTTAGCTTGTGGAGTTGTCAGTAACAAGTGACGAGTCACTAGTCAAACTGCGACAATTTCGATGACGCGGAGGAAGTAATTTTAATTTGAATCGCATTTAAAAGACCATTTTTGGAGTTTGGAGTTAAGAAGTGAAGTTTTCTAAATGTGTCAGTGGCTGCGTTGGAGTTTGCAGACGATTAGAAAAGCTGTTCCCTTGACACCTGTTTCACATACACACATGTGTGAAGAATGAAAGATACCCACTTCTGTAGGCAGCTACCGGTCATGCTGCAAAGGTGGCACCACAGAAATTAAGATGGCTCGTCGCTCTAGCACCAGAAGATAGCATTACCAGTACCGAGTGCATGGGTGAAAACCTGTGATTTGTTACTAGGTTTAGCCATATTCCTAGCACAGAGGTAACATATGTAGCCATAGAAATATTATCAACACCTCACTAAAATAGCACCAATTTATTGTATTGTTTATAACTGCTCCTTTGCAGACTTCCACTTCGTATAGCAACCTGATGATGGCAATTTGCCGAAAGGTCGGAAAAAATGATCCTGTGAAACGAGTTGTGACCTTTGCAGTGCCCAGGAAAAGAGCATGTGTGCTCGCCACTTCTCTTTCAGTTATGAAGCTGCAGGATGCTTCACCCCTTCTACGTTAGAAGATAGCATGCCAAGAAGAATCGTGTTCATAGGCAGGAGCTTCAGACGGTATTTCCGGATGGTACGCTCAGCCCTTACTGTAAAAAATATTGGCACCCAACCAGAAGTGGTATGGTTGTTGCCATAGTGACCGTAGTGAATCCAATGTCCATTCATAGAGCGACTCATACCTTATCACACATCAATGTCTGCTCCAGAGCCGGGTCGGCCAGGTTATCGACCCGGTTGGAGGGTACTTGGACCCGTTTGGAAAAAAAACACCCGGTCACCTGTGACCCGGTTGGGACTACAATACAGTCAACTTTACGTATAACGACACTCGGCCGGGCATCAGAAAAGTGTCGCTATTCACGAAGTGTCGTTATATCCGAAGTCTCATTATATGTATACAGGTAGAATAAACTTTGCTCTGAGCATGGAAATTCTGTCGTTATACCCGCAGTCGTTATTAGCGAAGTTGACTGTATACATCAGGGAGCCTGAAAATATTTACAACTCCCTGATCATAGGCTGGTGTACATGTACATGTACATGTATATGCAGTGGCAGCACTTGAACGGACCAGGCTCTCATCCGGTTGCAATGGCTGTGCCAGGTACGTGTGCACCCTGTCGGTTTGAAATCCTCGAGCAGACACTGCGCACACATGTGTGTGTAGTCCTGATGTTGTCTTGTGTGTATACAGTAAAACCTGTCTAAGAGGACCGCTCAAGGGACCTTCAAAAATGTGGTCTCTGTCACCAGGTGGTCTCCTCATCCAGGGTCATTTGACTGGAGATAGCATCCCTTGATCCTGGGTTCAGTGGTCTTCTTGGACAGGTTGGTCGCCTTATCCGAGTGGTCGCCTTGACAGGTTTTACTGTAGCATCCCTTGATCCTGGGTTCAGTGGTCTTCTTGGACAGGTGGTCGCCTTATCGGAGTGGTCACCTTAACAGGTTTTACTGTATGTTCAGTGCAGGATATCGCTGGTACAGTGTCGACAATGCATATGTCTCCCTATGCTGACTGCCTAGCTATCATTACAGAAGGTATGAACTGTTCTTATGTTGACCTGGCTGAGTTTGGTTGTCTTCTGTGAACCACTGACGATGTCTCAAGATGACGGCTCCTGGCTGAAAAATTAACTGAGATCTGAAATTGTGGAACAGAAGGACCGCTTGTGCTAGTGATGGTGTGAATGAGGATGTGTTCACAAATGTATTTTGCTGTGTGCCAGTCTGGACTGCCCAGACGTGAATAGTCCCGGTCTGATTTCCACCTTTTCTATGAACATGTTCTGAGTGTGTTTAACTGGTAAATCTGCTCTCATTGTAGTGTTAACTAAGTTACTTAGGCAGAAATGCCTGTGTATCTGGTGGAGTAAAAATACAACAAACAAACAAACAAGCGCTTTTTGATGGTGTTGCATCTCTTCCTGAATTTCTCTATGCACTTCAGAGGACCCATCGGTGATTAGTATATTCTCGTGGAATCTCAGCACGGTTATCAAGGACCTCGAGCAGTTCCAGACGTCTATAGCTACGGGGACAGGGCTTGTTACGGTGAGCAATTCGTAGGAAATTAGAGGCCACATGCCTCGTACTGCTATTTTCTCTCCGAAACTCGACAGTTGCAAGCCGGATACGAAAGAAAGAAAAATAACCAGTCACACCACCGGGACTCGAACGAGGGACCTTGTTATTCGCGAGCAATGAGTTTCGGAGAGAAAAGATCAGTACGAGGCATGTGGCCTCTAATTTCCTAATACCTTGAAATTCTCCGTGTTTAGTCCAAGTTTGACATTGCAATCCGTAGCTGTCTTGGATTAGACGCCATCTGTGTACTGTGCACCCTGCATTTTGCATTTCCATGCAGGGTTCTAGCCAAAGAAGGGTAGAAGGGTAAAAGGGAGGGGGCCTCCCAGAGGATCACTGCAACTAGGACTACTGTGTATACTTGGTCCGTTTCATCGCAATTGTCGCTTATCTCCCACGCACCTTTTGACAGGTAAAACCCAGTCCAATCACGATACCTAAGTTACTTGCGCTTGGGAGGTTGTGATGGCAAGATCAAAGGAGGCACCAAAGAAAAATGATCGCGACTAGCGCTTTGAATCGCGATGTGTTTGACTTTTTTGGGGAAGTGGGAATCTGGCCATTCACTGTCTGTGTTGTCGAAAGCCAAGCGCAGCGACCCGAAGACCGGAACTGTGGTAGGGGCAACTGACATCCTGGAGAGCGTGACAGGCACGCGCGCACGGCAGAGGAGTATGAGCCGCATGAGCGTCATGCTGAAGAAGAAAGGTGTTTTTGACGGGATGCGCCCGGCGGAAGGTTGTTGTTCCTTGCTTGGTGGACCTAGCAGCAGCATTACAAGAGTCGTGGCCAGCGTATCCAGCGGAGCGTTTGACAGCTGTCTGGAGAGGCCTGTATGCCTTGAAGGCTTTGTTGAAACACACTGTGGCGACACACAGAAAGCACTGAAGTGACAGCCACAACTGTTCCTTTCCCATTGCTGCCATACGACAGCCTGAGAAAGCAAGAGATACTCCAGTCTACGCCAGCAGCTAGACACCAGCAAAGGCAGCTCGAGTGATGCAGAGTTGAATGAACTCTGGACCTGTAAGAGTGTGAGTGCAAAAACGCGCTCCTGGATTTATTTCGTGCATTTTGCTTACCTTGCTTCCTTTCTTCGATTCGCTTTACCTGATTCCATTGCTGAAATGTTTTTCTTGTGACGGAGAGAATTCTTGTATCATGCTTCCTCACTATGCCTAGTGGAAATTTCACAGAGCGGTAAAAAACTCCTGTTCTTAGTGGCGATAGATAAGCGACAATTGCGATGAGCCGGACCAAGTACAAAAGAGAAAGGACCAAGGAACTACAAGTTACGCTATACTGTCCACTAACACCACCAGTTACTTTACAATCAGCTCATGCGATACCATTGCACGACACTGACCGACGGTACTGACGTTCTACAACTAACTGGCTAATAGCTCTAGCACATCCTGGATGCGCACTCCAACAGTAACTTGTAGTTGGTCTTTCTCTTTTGTATAAATTAAACCTTGGCTCTCCGTCTGAGTCCACTACTGGGTGTAAGTTCCATTCAAGGAGACCACCTGCACACGGTGACCACATTTTGAAGATCCCTTTAGCGGTCACCTTACACTCCCACCGTTAGGCGCTGCATCTGCCGCTAGGGTTTATCGGGTGTTAGCGGCCGTCGTGAGTTCCCTTCGGGAAAGGACGCGATAATTTACTCTCTTTTTTTACACTCCATTCAGAAAAATTCGTCGATTGTGGAGAGATTCAGTGCAGAAATTCATGTCCTCGGCCTTGATTTCAGCAAGGCATTTGATACTGTGAACAGAGAGAAGCTTCCGCAAGTACTCCGCAGTGAGCAGATTGCTAATGACGATGAGGTACGCATCATTCGATACCTCATGGCCAACACGACACTTGAGGTGAAGATAGAATCATTTAAGTCACCTGCATTTCCAACCACAAAGGGAATACCACAAGGAGACGGACTTTCACCTGTACTGTTTACGGTATACCTCGAAGCTGCACTACGTGATCTTCGATCATCACTACCACCAAGACCGACTGCAGATGCGCAGATACCACCGGAAACAGCATATGCCGACGACGCTGACTTCATATCAACGTCCCACACATACCTCCGTCAGCTTCTGGCACTTGCAGAGGACATCTTCGACAAGTGGGACCTGAAAGTCAATGTTTCTAAAACGGAATGGGTCAGGATGTACCTTGAACCAGTTTCAGAAACAACAGTGCACCGTGGTCAAGAGCAATGGAGAAGCATCAGGACTCTGGGCTCTCTGTTTGGCACTGCACAAGATGTGACACGCAGGATTGGTCTTTCTGCTGTGGCATTTGGTCGAATGAAGGCGATCTGGTTTCGGCGGCAACATCTACAAACTAACACCATGGTACGACTCTACAACGCATACGTTCTTCCTATCCTCACGTACAATATTGGCTGCGCAGGCCTCTCTAAGGCACTGGAAGACTCCCTGGACAAGATCCATCGCAAGCAACTTCGGCATATGCTTGGTATATTCTACCCTCGTGTCGTGTCGAATGATGACCTGTATGAGCTTGCTCACACTGAGCCAATATCCGCTATGGCAAAGCGAGCGAGATGGCGTCTGCTTGGACACATCCTACGCCAGCCATCATCGACACCAGGCAATCAAGCAATGATTGCATACGCATCAATGGAGGACGCTGTGAGGCACAGGAGGGGAGCTCCAAGGTCCTGTTTAGTCACCACCCTCCAGCAAGACGTCAAGTTCACCGCCGTCGCATTGAAGACGAGCCGGCACCTCGAAACCCTAAGAAGTTGTGCAGTTGACCGGCAGAAGTGGAGTAACATTTGTTCTGCGGTGGTGTGAACACACATGACCGGCTGTGATTTTGGTGTGGACGCACATGACTAACTGTGATGACCAATGATTTCATTTCATTTATCTTATTTTTTATTTTTCAAAGAAAGAGCTTTGCTGATGTGGTGTATTGGAACTCATGTGAAATCTACACCGTGATTGTTTTCGTCAAATATCATATCTTCTCTTTTCTCTCTCTGCCGCGGTGCTTTTTGTCACTCCATTGTCGTGAGTTCCCTTTGGAACGTAGACGAGAATTATTATTATTATTATTATTCAGAAAAAAGATGAGCGCTGGCTCTGGCGAGCTCCCCTATTTGGTGATTTTACGTGATTTTGTGGTGAATTGATAAAGGGTCCCAAAAAAAGGTACCTCAACTGGGGTTCGAACCGCACAATGTACTGTTCTGCAAGTGGTGTGAACGGCCTGGATTTTCATGTTTTTTCCCCGATTGGGCAAACCTGGCCAATATCCTGTTCTTGTTATGACTTGCTTTTCGGAGAAATAGACTTCAGAATTATAAATGGAAGAGGATTCCATGGGTGTTGCCAAAAATTGTGAAAAAAACTAAACATTTGACCAATTTATGGCCAACAGGTAGGATACCATTTTTTATGAATGGACTGTAGACAGCTTGGCCCCACCAGTACAGGCTAATCCCATCCCAGAGGAGAGCTCAGCTCTACCTGTACAGGCTAATCCTATCCCAGAGGAGAGCTCAGCTCTTCCAGTACAGGCTAATCCCATCCCAGAGAAGAGCTCAGCTCTGCAAGTACAGGCTAATCCCATCCCAGAGGAGAGCACAGCTCTGCAAGTACAGGCTTAACCCATCCCAGAGGAGAGCTCAGCTCCGCAAGTTCTGGCTAATCCCATCCCAGAGGAGAGCTCAGCTCTGCAAGTACAGGCTAAACCTGATGATGTCTCCCCAACATTATTATTATTTTATTATTATCAAATTTTTAAGAGGGCAATCCCCACAGGCCTTAGGCCTTTTTACAGGGTACCCTAGGAAAGCAAGTACAGATTTGCGGAAAAAGTGCAATGAAGAACATAAACGGGCCTCAGCAGGGAGCTCGTTCCAGCGGTCAGGGCCGAGGAAACCAACGAATCTTGACTTTGGGCCGAGTAAGAGATAAGGTAGTCCGAACATCAAACTGGCACACTTCAACACCATGCGCACTGTGGAACAGTTTGTCACGCGCAGCAGCAACCAAGCTCTGAGTACGCAGACTTCCTCTGGCATCGTGTGACGACGGTGGCAACGACAACGACGGCGAAACAGTCTGCCACTGTCTCTGCCAACCGTGCGAATAATCCTACCTACCACTTGGGCAACCTGTGCAACTGCCGCTGCGAGGCTGCCTATAGCTGGTGCCGCGGTAACAAGACCACTGAGGATGGGTGGAAGTGGCGGAAGTCTCTTCCGTGTGTCAACTACCTCCGATGCTTGCTTCACTTGCATTCGGTTAGCACAGATCATAATGGCGAGGGAAACCGATAGAGCCAAAGTTGTCATTTTCAAGACTTGCATTTTCTGTTCTACGCCAGGAGGAATCGCTAGGAACAGCTCCACAAGTTACACGTACCGAGGGATTTCAAGACTTGCTGGGTCATTTGTGACCCGTTTGGGAGTACAATGTACATGTTGAGTACATTTTCGTTCACTTCCACTCGGTTACCAAACATAATAATGGTATGGGCAAGCGACACAGCACTGAAAAGCGCCAAAGGTGTCATTGTTTGTTAGTTCGGTGCCAGCAGTTTGGAACAGCTCCACAAGTTACCAGGGGGTTTCAAGACTTGCCTTGGTCAATTGTGACCTGGTTGAGAGCACTGTTAGGCCTACAATGTTGAATACAAACAACAGCCGACCGAGCGAATCGAGTTTAGTGGCAGATCTTCAATCATTCGAGTGAGAGTCGAGAGAGAGAGAGAGAGAGAGCTCGACTGCGGAACAACGCAATATAAAGGGCCTGGGCAGCTGTGGCAAACATGGGCGCGCAAGTAGCTACCCAGGCCAAATGAATAATGCATGAACTAATGAATATGAACTAATTACTTGTGGGCCTAACAGTGCTAGTAAAGTGCACATGTCGAGTTCTTTTGTAACCGATGCTTGCTTCGCTTCCACTTCCACGGCAAACATCATAATGGTGAAGGAAACCGACAGAGCACTGAATAGAGCCACAGGTGTATCATTTTCCTTGTCGTTGTTGGTTCTTTGCCAGGAGGAATCGCTTGGAACAGCTCCGCAAGTTACATGTACCGAGGAATTTCAAGACTTGCCTTGGTCATTTGTGACCCGATTGGGAGTGCAGTGCACATGTCGAGTACTTTTTTCGTTCACTTCCACTCGGTTACCAAACATCATATTGGTATGGGCAAGCGAGACTGCCAAAGGTGTTAGACTCCTGTATCCTTGTCTTGTCATTGTTGGTTCTGTGCCAGAACTTCGACATCGCTTGGAACAGCTCATCGCTTGGAATAGCTCATCGCTTGGAACAGCTTATCGCTTGGAATAGCTCCACAAGTTAATGCACCGAGGGGTTTCAAGACTTGCTGAGTCATGTGTGACCCGGTCGGTAGTACAGTGCACATACTATTCCCAATAACGTCTGTTCTTCTTTTCTCTCCTTCTCCTAGCACTGTCTGTCTTATCATTCCCCTCCTTCTAATGTACTGTCTCTCCTCCTAACATTTCGTATCATGTACCTGTCACTCGTTTCATTTTTCTTCTTTTTTTTGGTGAGTTTTATGTCCCCATGTCGTCGAGACCTCAGGTCGGCTGAGGGCAAAAAGCCTCACCATCACTATGCTCCCACTATGCAATTTTTTGTCTTTGCCTGTGAGCTGTGATCATTGTAAAAAAAATAATAAATTAATAAATTAAAAATTAAAAAAACATGTTGAGTACTTTTTCTGTAAGGGGGGCATACTAATAATCTGCATGCAGGCTTCAGTTGGTACACTGCAGCTTCTTCCTGCAACTTTCTCAACGTCGTCTTCTTCTTCCACGATGTTGTCGGACAAAGTGCGGAGCCAGTTGATCTATGCACTGTTCAGTCATGCACAGCAGGGAGAGTGGTGTAATATTACGACTCCCTGGTGTACATGTAGATGTAAAATATTTCCGGGGTATAAGACACACTTTAAACACTCAAAATTCACCCCAAAAAGGGGGGGGGGTGCAGCTTATACTCCGATGATCAAATTCACCGTGATAAATAGGATAGATGTCTGTATTTTGTGGGAAAAAAGGAGGTTGCGGCTTAGACTCAGCGTGGCTTATACTCCGGAAAGAGGCGGAAAATGCGGTACATGAAGTAGCCGCGTTGGTGCGAACCCAGCTCTGACCCTGTTTCTAGAGGTGTGCCAGGTACATGTGTACCCGGTTGCTAGAGGTGTGCCAGGTACATGTGTACCCGGTTGCTAGAGGTGTGCCAGGTACATGTGTACCCGGTTGCTAGAGTTGTGCCAGGTACATGTGTACCCGGTTGCTAGAGTTGTGCCAGGTACATGTGTACCCGGTTGCTAGAGTTGTGCCAGGTTCATGTGTACCCGGTTGCTAGAGGTGTGCCAGGTACATGTGTACCCGGTTGCTAGAGGTGTGCCAGGTACATGTGTACCCGGTTGCTAGAGTTGTGCCAGGTACATGTGTACCCGGTTGCTAGAGTTGTGCCAGGTACATGTGTACCCGGTTGGTTAGAAATCGTACAGCACACGCTGACACAGTGTACTGTGTTTTTTAGGGACAATTTGTCTCCATTCCCCGAGGGAACTCATGACAGCCACGGGAAACACTTTTGGCAAATTGGGCTAAAATAGCCCATATTTCATTGCTTCAAACAAAATTATTGAAGCGGCATTGGCCGTACCTGCCGCACCGGTTCGGATACCCCTAGTAAAGGGCGCGTTCAGACTACCGATAAAAAAGAACGAAATGGAATAGTTTCCAAGGTGATTTGATCACGTGACGTTACTGGTATGTTGTCGGCGGGAAAGTGTTACTGCTGCATCGGAAACAGCATTGCGGCAGTAAAAAAGGTTTTCAGGCTGGGAGTAAGGGAAAATCCCTTCTCAGTGCCGTGGTGAGAGCTGCACAACTTGCGTACCTGTAACGTTAGTATATCGGTGGTGCGAATGTCCGTCACGGTTTATCACCATTATTCACAGTTTGACGGGATTCACGGTAGTCTGAACGCGCCCTAAGCTGTGTCACTCACACTTTTTGCTTGCTCTTGCTGTGCGCCAGGTGCCAAGGTTATCCGCGAAGCTGGTTCGCCTGCGTCGTATTGCAGCTCCGCTGACGCTGGTCGCTGGCCTCTGTCTGCCGCCCACCGACAAGTTTGTGTACCTCGAGGAGCTCTCCGGCGCTAACCAGACGAGCAGAAATCCTAGCAATACTGAGACACCGCTGCAGAGGATCACCAGCAAGGTGCAGCTGGAGGCCTTGATGCGGAAAACCATACGCCAACTGGAGCGTGGCCATGTACAGACCAGTGAATTAGCCAGAGTGATGAAAGAAGCCGAGATCACAACGTACGTAATCAGGTGTTGGTTTGACGGCACGATTAATCTAATAATTATTACAGATCCGCGTACAGGGTGGTGGGCCAAAGGCCACCTTTCCGCTTCGGTGTATTCATTATTATTCATAGATTGCATGAAGAGCAGAGTGTTTGCCATCACCGCATAGCTCTCTTGACCAACCCATCATGCAAACACTCCACTCACCATTGCAAGGACACTTCCGATGATATGTAGTGTGGATGGTTGCCAATGTCAGCGTGCCTTGCACCTCTAGCATTGGCTTGGCGTAACAGGAATTACCCATGTGAACAGAATGTTGGATCTGTATAAGCATTATATCTGGTGATTAAGGACATTCCATGATTCTCCCTATGACCCGTGTGTGTGTTTGTGTGTGTGTGTGTGCGTGCGTGCGTGCGTGCGTGCATGTGTGTATGCGCGTGGGTGTGTGTCTGCATCCGTGTCTCTGTCTCTGTATGTGCGTGTGTGCGTCTGTGTATGTGTATGTGTATGTGTGTACTTGGTCCAATACAGGTTTGCGCCTATCATTGCCTTCACTAGTCGCTCGTTGGTGGAATACGTTGGAAAGCAGTCGAAGAAACAGTCCAAAGGCCAGCCCGGTGAGTGGTCAGTGACATTCCACTTGTTGCTTTTGTTTCCAACTGTGTGTTGTAGCCGGGTGTTTCGCTCTGTGTTGTACATTTTCTGAGCTGTGCATTGGTCATTGAATAGTACTCACTGCCATAATTATGTGTACATTCCTATGTTGCTATGAACTGTGTGTGTGTATGTGTATGTATATGGGTGTGTGTGTGTGGGGGGGGGGGGGGGGGTGCGTGCGTGTGTGTGTTTATGTGTGTGTATAATCTGTGGGTGCACATCCAGTGCATTTGCAGATTTGCGTGCTTCTCTTGCGACGGGCGTATACATGGTGTGTGTGTGTGTGTGTATGTGTGTGTGTGTGTGTGTTTGTGCATGGTGTGTGTGTGCATGCGCGTGCGCAAGTGTGCGTGCATGTGTGTGTGCATGTGTCAGCGTGTGTTTGTGTGCATGTGTATGTCTGTGGACGCACACATATTCCTGAATGTACGACATGTATATTCAGCTGAAGACCGCACACGAACCAACTCCCTAGTAGCTGTCTACAAGCACTGCAATGAGCAAATCTATCACTACCATCTACCGGATAAACCACAGACAGTTGCTCTCAATGGTAAGCTGGTGTAGACCAGGCATAGCTTCATGTTGCTGGCAATTCTGCTAGCAAAATATCAAAGGGTTTTGAAAAAGAATTGGCTGGCAAAGCGGAGCAAAATACCGGTATGCGGGCTGAAAATTGGGAGAGTTAAAACATTTACGGGGCATGTGACTCATTGGCTCACATTTTTTGTCAACACGTGACCCACTTTCGGTCAGCTTTCCAACACGTGACACAAATTTGACCTCAAATCGGAGCAAGAGGTACCAAAATATCGAGTGGCCTAGCAAAATGAAAGCAAACTACGACGATGAGCCAGAAAAGTGTTGAAGAAAATGTCGAAGCTGTACTGGCAAAACCGGGCTTTGCCTAGTGTAGACTCTAATTGGTCACTAGGTGTGGTCATATGGCCTGGTCAGATGACATTGTCACATGACATTGTCACATGACCTTGTCACATGACATGATGGGTACTATGTGCCGGGTGGTATCATGTGTAGTGACTGGTAGGTTATGTGATTGCTTTCAGTTGTAACCTACTATACATGTGACACCTGATGTCAGCAAAGATCAGGGTCTAATGGGATGTGCAGTTTGATATCGAATTGGTGTAGCTTAACTCTAACTAGTATCTACTTTATCTTTGAAGTACTACAGTGTGGATTGGTTTGACGGTCACGTACTGGGTCTCCTACCTAATATCTGCATTCTTTGCAAAGGAAACCTGGGATTTAAGGACAGTAAAACCTGTGATTAACGACCACCCGTTGGGGCCAGAGAAAGCGGTCTTTAGTGGCAGGAGGTCCTTAGTTAGAGGTTTTAACTGCACAACCATATCTGAACGTGAGACCGTCCGTCCGTGCCTGGCGAAGTGGTCTGTAGTACATGTACCAGGCTGGTCGCTAGTCACGGTGGTCTTTAGTTACAAGTTTTACTGTATCATGCCATATAGGTTACGGGGGATTCCCCATCTCATTCCATGCCAGCTTATAAACCAATCAGTTGTACTCTGCGTTCACGATCGGCTGCTGAACAACAGGCACTTTGGTGATTAACAGTTATATCAGCAAACTCGAATGTGGCTACGCATTGGCAATGAAACCCAGACACCTTTCTTCGCTGATTAGTCTGTTCATAAAGCTCTTGGTACTAAATAGATCAAAGATTGACCTTTCCATTAAAGTTGTTTGGCAATAATGAGAGGAATGCTCTCCCATTTGTGTTTTTGGAGGTCTACTCCTCCAAAGGGTGTATCACGAAAGGAAGTTATTTTTTCGGTCTAGTTTGACATACCGTAATCTCGCACTTATAAGACCATGATCTTATAATCGAAAAGTCGCTGTTATCGGTCCTTTCACAAGTGCATTTTCGTTCGATTATAAGACCATGGTCTTATATGCGAGAGACAAACATCGCGTCGGCATGTACATAAATATGCAAGTACGCATATTATTGGTTAATGCCAGTACAATGGAACCATGATGAACCTCGTGTGGTTTTGTGATTTTCATTCACTTACAAGTGCATGTTCTTATAAGCGAGAGTGCTCTTATATTCAAAAATAAGAACATGTTCTTAAATGCGCGAGATTACGGTAGTAATTAGAATTGGGTTTATGAGCCTAATTCAGCCCTAGATCTGGTTTAAAACTGGCCAGAGGTCCACTATTTCCGAATGGATCATATCGTCCGTACGTTGTCATAGTATGCAAGTCCTGTGTGTGTGTGTGTGTGTGTGTGTGTGTGTGTGTGTGTGTGTGTGTGTGTGTGTGTGTGTGTGTGTGTGTGTGTGTGTGTGTGTGTGTGTGTGTGTGTGTGTATGTGTGTGTGTGTGTGTGCGTGCGTGCGTGCGTGCGTGCGTGTGTGTGTGTGAGTGTTCCCTCACAGTGCTGAGTAATGATTTCATTCAGGGGCCTCACAGGGCAATGGGGAGTGGTACGACCGGGCTCCGGGGATGTTCCTTGGAGAAAAAAATCAGATTTTCGGCCAACAGCGCTTTTTTAGGGCTCTTTTATTGCTTTTTTATGAATTGGGCGGACCATGGTCATACTGGTCGTACTATGTGTGATGCCCCTGTCATTATTCACGATTGGTTTGCCAGAGTGTGAAACCTGATTTTGAAGTTGACCGTGTCATCCCACCAGTAGCTTCAGCCTGTGGGCTGTGAAGGACGTCTCCATTCAGTGCTGGGTCTATGGTTGGTTCAAGTGTTGTCCACTTTTGTGTTCTGACAGGTTCTACATCCTCACAGCTGGCACAAGTATGCAGCTGCGACTTCATAGAGATCTTTCCATCAGGTATTGCCAAGGCTTGGCACATTGCAACATCGGAGTGGCTAGTGTGTGTAACGAAGGATCAAACTATTGGACTTAGGGACCTCAAGGATGGTACGTTTCAATCTAGGGCATGATTTAGATTGGCATGGTATTTGTTTCATGCAGGCATGAATATCAGAATGGCACCCAGGTAGCGATGTTTGTCCACTTTCTGTTGCCAGTTACCTGACCCACCTTTATCACAGCCATGTTAAAATGTGGAGTCCATTGACATCTCTTATTGTGACTAATTTTAAAAGTGTGTATTGTGTAGGGGTCTCTCCAATGCACTTGCCCTGTATCGTGCAGCCATGGTCACTGAATGATGGTCCCGGTCTATGAATTAGATTATGATGGGTGCTTTGTAACCCCGGCACTCCTAAGTTAACCTCGGGTTATTTTTCGACACTTGATTCCTTCATTCCTTTTACTTTTTTTCCTGTTTCGGATATTTGCCGTGGTTGGCTATCACCCTTCATTTCACGTTCATTTGTCATTGGCAGTTGTTTGACGAGCCAGGAAACGTTGAATAAATACAAATACAAACACAAATACACCAGGCGTTGTGCCGTATACTGACACAAGGTGCTATCTTACTGTCGGTGAGACACACGAAATCCTAGTGAGCTCCCCGGTTCAACAGTGTTGAGAAGACATTGCAAATCGACAACTGCTCGTAGCTGAACCGGTTTGTACTTTGAGCGTTCAGTGCCTTTAACATGCCTAAAACAGTGGTACGACGACCATAAGCTCTGTCAGGGATGGAGGGAGGGAGGGCGGAAGGGGGGGGGGGGGGGGGGAGATAGCTCTTACAACTCTGAGTTTCACAATTAATCGCCAGCACTAGGCCAATGACAGTCCACACCGGGTCACCCGTTACAAAAGCAGGGGCGGATCCAGGAGGGGTTCCAGGGGTTCTGCGGAACCCCCTAAATTTTCTACTTGAAGTAAATGTACTACTGCAAGCCATATGCAGGTGCATATACATGTATCGGCTATTCATTTTTGACTAAACTGGAACCCCCCCCCCCCCCCTGCATAGATCGCTGGATCCGCCGCTGAAAAGGATGGTGGTGTGATGAGGTGAGTGCAATCAGGAATGTGAACTACAGGTGTTATGCACTCCTGGTGTGTTATGATGAAACTGAACCATGATTCCTCTTGTTCGTTTGTGTTCTGTGCGGTGATGCGCATCAGGATTTACCCTATTCTTCACATCGATGCCGCCAGAGATCGGGATAATCAAGACAATCACAGCGGTCGAGACTTCGCACATATCGCCACGGCAACAACACGATGGTGAAACTGGTGAAGCGGGGACTGGCAATGAAGCTGCCGTTGTAAAGTGCCGCTCTAGGACGGGAGTGTTGCTGGTGGGCAGTACAAAGGGACGCCTGGCCACGTTTAGGTTTACTGCACGCCAGGGCTCCTGCTTGGGCTTTGGAACTTTCAATATAGGATCGTGAGTCTTTTCCGTAATTGTGTCTGTCTGTCTGTCTGTCTGTCTATTTCGGCATGAGCTTGATATCCATACAGTACACCAGCAGATGTCCAGCCGAGGGATACACAATAGAGACAAGACTTGACTGATACTGGTCACGGACAACATACTTTATTATTGTTTCAGCGATTGTCTTCTTCAGAATGATGTCAGTCTGTCTGTATGTCTGTCTGTCTGCCTGTGCGTGTGTGTGTGCGTGCGTGCTTGCTTGCGTGTGTGCGTGCGTGCATGCGTGTGTGTGTGTGTGTGTGTGTGTGTGTGTGTGTGTGTGTGTGTGTGTGTGTGTGTGTGTGTGTGTGTGTGTGTGTGTGTGTGTGTGTGTGTGTGTGTGTGTGTGTGTGTGTGTGTGTGTGTGTGTGTGTGCATGCGTGTGTGTGTGTGCAGGTCTGTACTTGTCCAAATGCGTGTCGCGTCCTGGCAGTCACAGTAGATTTATTCTTTAGAGTTGGACTTTTTTGTTTCAGAACTCCCTGAAACAACTAGAATCCCTGCAGGTGTATGTGTTGCATGCCTGCAGGCGCATCGGCTGCTTTAGTTCCGCCATGTTCTTTCTATGTGCATTGGGCTATGTAGCCTTGCAAGGGTTATTGCAAAAGTACAACAGGTCCCAAGAGTCTGCAACTCTGGATGGTCTTTCCTTGGGGTCCACCGACAGCGAAAACTCACGTCGCGCGTTGTAATGCTCACGCCATACGCTCTCAGCCCGTTTTAGCGAGCTGTGGAGTAGTAAAAATAGCACTCCCTGACAGAAACTCACTCAGCTCAGCATGAACATGGCAGATAATATATGGACTGCATGCACGCTGGCCTTTGTTGTGCCTACATGTACATATACAGTCAACTTGGCTTATAACGACACTCGGCGGGGCATCAGAAAAGTGTCCTTATTCGCGAAGTGTCCTTATACCCGAAATCTCATTATATGTATTACTGTTAGCTGGGACTTTGCTCTGGGCATGGAAATTCTGTCGTTATTCGCGAATTGTTGTTATATCCGCAGTCGTTATTAGCCAAGTTGACTGTAGTACACAACGTATTTGAACACGTGATGTGAGTTTTCGCTGCCCGATACCCCATCTGCTGAGTTGCATATTCTTGGGAGTGTACTTACTCTTGGCTATAGTCACAGTCTGCTGCCAGCCTACCTTTATCTAGCCCACACCGTATATGAGGGATGTCCACTAAAGAGGCTGAAAGAACAGATACTGTGAGTCTACAAATTAATTTGTGCACCGATGATCTATTGACTTACAGTAGGCGGCAGCTAGGGCATCTTTCTAGCAGTGGTGTGTGTGTGTGTTGTGCTGCGTTGTGCTGCGTACTGCATTGCACAGAGATCCCTGGCCGCGTATAGACAAGGGGACCATTACCAGCATATTTCCAGCAGGGACGGCATACCCAGAACTGGTAAGCAACGCCCGTGATTTTGATAACACACACACACACACATAGAATCCCATTGAAAGGGATCTGCTCTTCCCCGTGGACACAGGGCCGTAGCACCTGCTACGACTGATACTACCATGGCCGTACCACTTTTCGAAAAGTGTGGTCCATCTGGAACGTGCAAAACCGTAATAAAAACAACCGGGACCCGTCAGATCTTTGACTTTTGTTCGAGTTTGACTCACACTTGACTCGACACGGCTATCAGGTACACTTGGTTCATGGCAACTTAGTTTTCTGCACGTGAACCATAAAATTCTATGACTAAAAATCAGTAAACATGTGCCCAAAGTACCCAGCTCACACAGGATCTGTGTCTTTTTTACAAAATTTCCCCGGGGAGGACCCCGCACCCCCCCCCCCCCCCCTCTTCACAGCATGCACTTGGTCGTACCAGTTCCCAACCCCCTCCTACGCCCCTGATGGTGAGAGTAGCGTAGCCTGCTCTCCTACAGCACCTGTTCTTGCTTAGAATGCAAGCATACCATCCTTGTGGGGACCATCTATAATCCATTTCTCTCCGCTTGATTCAATGTAGAAGGACAAGGTATGTCTCTGGCGATCACTGCGGCTCTCATCTGAATGATGTCTCGAGTTTTGAAATTTTGCTCCATGGTTCCACGTGCAGTCACATTGTGTTCTTGTTTCTGTTCTCCCTGAGTAAATAGTGACAGATCACAAACATCAAGTGCAAGGCGCCAGTCACATGTAGAATCGACTTGGAATCTTATCACTGCTACTGATCCAGCTTGGATAAAGAGTTCCGCACAGGCAGTTTGATACAGTGAGCTTGTTTTCCTTAGCATTGTGTGATCTTCATTGGATTTATCATAAGATCAGAGGGACAGTGACGGCCGCTAAATGTGTAATTCACAGCACTCGGGGCGGCTGCAGATGCAGAGTCTTCCAGGTCTTCGCACCTGCTCGCAATCCGGCCCATTTTTTCGTAGGGTTTCCACTTCCTGATCAAAGCCGTCAGAACTCAACTTTGGCATGTCCAGGTTGGGCGGTGGCTGCTCTTCCACAGTCTCTTTCTCCTCATCAGCAAACTTGCCAAGGAGCCACGGATGAAGTCGGAGAAATTCAATATCCTCAGTGTCAGCCCTGGCCAAATCAAGCATTCATGTGAGGCGTGTTCTCTTCCATCGTAACATCTCCAATTGGCATTCCACAACAATGGACTGCCACCAGTACTTGGCATGGGCTTCTTGCAGCTGTCACGTCCCAGAATAAGACAACTGCTGCCTGTCATGAATGTCACCACATCATGAAGACTACTTACGATGTCCAACGACGACTCTGATTACCCAGCTGATGGCACGCGTACATTGTGAATCCGAGTATTCCCAATGTCGCCTCCATCTCATCATATAATTATACTCTCCTGCATGTTTGTCTCTGCTGCTCATCACAAACTACTTGAATCTGAACTTGTTTTCTTCTTCTCTGAATGCACTCGTTGCTAGCTGCCGAGATTTGTTTTCTTGTAGTTGCATCATTGCATTCCGCATGATCCGCGCTTGCATGATGCACGCACGCACACACACACATACGGTTGTGGTTGGCAAGTTTTGATTATGGTTGAAGGTGAAGTTTTTAGAAAGGAAACTGTGGTATGAGAATGAGTCTGAGGAGTCTGTCTTCCCCTACCGTTCTCGACATGGTGCTGTGACCAGGATTTGGAACCAACGCGTCCAACAACTTTCGTTTTTTACGATGGACGGAGAGGTTGAACAGACAACAACGAACGATGGAGAGGAGTCCTTGGATCAGACGACTGAGAAGCAAAGCACATCTCACGTCCTGGACCAAGTGGTTTACAACGACCTAGTCAAGAAGCGAGGCAGGGCCAAGGGAAGGGTGACGCGAGTAAGGAGGAGGATCGAACATGAACTCCGTAAAACGGAGGAGAAATTCGTTAGTCTGTTGTCACTTCAGAGTGATGTTGAGAAAATCCTACCCTTGATTGACACAGTGAACGACCTGTCCGAGCAGATTGGTACCCTGCTGGAGAACTGCGAGGCAGACGAGCGTGTGGAAGACGCACTAATTGATTTGGAAGCCTGGGATGATGGCTTTGACCACGAATGCACAAGTGTGTCGGACGCACGTGCACTACTCGACTATAGAGGGGTAGGGACACATTCACCAGTGGTGACGGAGCTTGCTGCAGAGGCAGCAACACCCCAGAAGGCCACCCGGCACGATACAACACAGGAGGTAGTGGTCGTGGACAGTGATGGGACGGACAGGCCCACGGGCGAACTGCTGGAATCAAAGGAATTGCCGGCAACAGGCACGGGCGACACGGAATCTGCTGCAGGCAGACTGGACAGCCCTAGCACGGGTGTGGAGGCAAGGCGTAGCACAATGTCCACAGGCACGGACATCAGTGCTACTACTCAGAACCCTGTGGCTCAGGCTCAGCATACGGATACAACACAGGCCCAGCCAACTGTCCCGACACCAACCAATTCCCCGGACATGATACAGGCCATGGCATTAGCGGCAGCCCACGCTGCAACCGCGGCAGCTGGCCTCAGTACTGCCCCACAGCCATCACGCCTCAACGTCCAGCTGCCAAAGCTGACTCTACCGTCCTTTTCTGGCAAGGTGATTGAGTGGCCAGAGTTTTGGGAGCGATTCCAGTCTTCCATCGACAACCAGCCCATTGCGGATGTCAGCAAGTTCTCATACCTGAAATCTTGCCTTTCCGGCGATGCGGCGAAGGCCATAGCGGGCATCTCATTGACAAGTGCAAACTATACCACCGTCAAGGATCTGTTGAAGACGAAGTATGGTTCAGCGGAGATCATCATTGCATCCCTGTACAGCCGTTTGGAAGCACTACCGGCACCACCCAACAGGCCCATGGAGATCCATCGAAGTTTCGAAACTGTGGAGTGTCTCCTTCGACAGCTGGAAACACAGGGAGAGAAGTTGGCAGATCAACGTCTCCTGTGCCAAAAGCTGTGGGGCAAGGTTCCACTCGAGGTTGCCACCAAGTTTGAGGAGTGGCGTGGTATCAGCAACGCCGGCCAGCCCTGGAAACTAACCACTCTACGAGAGTATATGGCCAAGTACACAACTCTACAAGAGCAACTCCGCCAGCGGACTGGCCAAGGCCCTCCGAACAAACCTGACGCTGTTGGAGTGCAGCCAAAGCAACTCTTTAGCACAGCGGATGCACTGGCAGCTCACCCTGATACCCAAGGACGACCACAACGTTCCCGTCGTGGTTGCATATTCTGCGATGGCCAACATATGGACAACGATTGCTCACGCTACACATCTTCTGCTGCCAGGAAACAACGATTAATGGAGCTACGTCGTTGCTTTATTTGCTTGGGTTCCGGTCACCGCAGCCAGGAATGTTACCGACGGCAAACACAGACCTGCCGGATGTGCAAGCGCCCAAGTCACCATCACCATACCATCTGCTCGCAGAGTCGCCAGCCATCTGGTGTAGGTTCGCATTCCACCCGACGAGCTGACGGTTCATCTTCCACGGCAGCGGTGGCAACTTCTGACACTACAACCGCTACGTGCACACCCACTCAGGTTCCAGGTCAGGCAGTTGCTTCGGACCAGACAGTTGCTTCGGACCAGTCATCGTGTCTCCTGCAAGCAACAGGATCAACTGTCACACTCCAAACCGCCACAACGAATGTGCAAGGCAACAATGGTACAATCACCACCGCTCGCGTTCTTCTTGATTCAGGCAGCCATCGCACGTACTTCACGGAGGCTTTGGCAAGGCAGCTCTCCCTGCGCCATACTCGCCATGAATGGCTGTCCGTGTCAACCTTTGGTGCCACCAAACACCACACAGCACAGGTACCGATCTCCGACCTGTTCATTCATCTCAAGGATGGTACAACGAAGGCCATCGAAGGCAGCGTCTTACCGCACATCACAAACCCGGTTCTCCGTCCTGCGGTTGCACACCCCGACATCACGACCTTGCAGCAACTGCAACACGACAACCAGTTAGCTGATGCGATTAACGCCGAAGATGAACGGCTAAAGATCGACATACTCATTGGGTCTGATTATCTGTGGGACTTCGTGCAGGGCCATGTGCAACCTCTACCATCAGGCCTCAACCTTCTGCCAACCTCCCTCGGCTACGTGGTCACCGGCAAGACGGACACCTCTCCCACCACTGCCCTACCGGCAACCACTCTGATCGCAGCCGCAGCCGACGTTTCACACGAGGAGGTTCTGCCTCTTAAGCAGTCCATTCCGGATTTGTGGAGCCTCGAAACGCTTGGGATAGAGCACCCGTCTCCCGTGAAAGACGATGACGTAGCCTTGCAACATTTCCACTCAACAGTGGAGTGCACCGATAATCGCTACATCGTTCGCTGGCCATGGAACGGCCAGCAGCAGTTTCTCCCGGACAACTACGGATTGACGTTGGGCCGGTTCCGGACTCTATCGCGGCGGCTAAGCACCGACTCGTCACTACTTGAGCAGTATGACAAGGTGATCCAGCAGCAAGCCGACATGGGCATCATTGAGCAGATGACACCGGATTCTGTCACTGGTCCGCAACTCCATTATCTACCCCACCAGCCAGTTCTAACTCCAACGAAGACGACGACCAAGTTGCGTGTCGTTTATGATGCCTCGGCCAAGGCACGGCGTCACAACAAGAGCTTGAACAACTGTCTGCTACGTGGACCCGTGTTGCTCCCCAACCTTGCCGGAGTTCTTATGCGACTCCGCATCACACCCATTCTGCTGGTAGCCGATATCGAGAAGGCATTCTTGCAACTTGACATCTGGCCGCCAGACCGGGACGTGACACGCTTCCTATGGTATCGCGATCCAACTAATCCCACAGCAACTCCGGACAACATCGCGGTCTATCGGTTTCGGAGAGTACCGTTCGGCATCGTGAGCAGTCCATTTCTGCTAGCGGCAACAATCCAACACCATCTAGCAAATGATGAAGA